ATGAATCCTAATTCCTTGTCTGGAAGTGTATAGATCTAATTGGTAATGGAAAGCTATGCAAATCTTCAATTGCAAGACTATTTTTTTTAAAAAAATGTTTTGCATTATAAAGGCAGAATAAATGTTTATATGAATTTGCTTTACACACTTGTTTTGGAATCACCAATTGCCAAGAAAGGACAGTCCAATTTCTGTTAATGTATATGCTTTACTGAAATGTTTCGGAAATGGATGAATTTAGTAGGTGACCTTGCGGGTCACCTAACTCCATTCCTAGTATGTGTGTGTATTACTCCATTCTCAATGTGAACTGAAACAATCTATGTGTTGAGAATGCTCCTTTACTCAAAAAATAAATCTCAGCATTTTTACAGAATAATATAGTAGTTCTATTCAACAGATACTCTTCCCCCAAAAATTGTTAAATAGATTCCAGTTTAATTATTTGATTCCAGAATACCTGGAAACAGATAAAAACAAACTTGTACAGCTAAGGAATATCTAGTTGGATGCATTGAAATTTTAAAAAATGGAATCTGATACCTATTTTAGGTACTCCCTATTTCCTACTGTCTCCGTTCCAATTTCCTATGACAGAATGAACTACTAGCTTCCTCTGAGAGCATTCATTCAACTCATTTTCCTCTGTAGTGGGGATATATTTGTGATTAAGGTACACATAACTTATTTTTGGAGACGATGATGGCCACAGTGGAGAGACATAAAGTAACTGAGTGAGCAACATTGAGTGATATATTTGTGCAATGCTAGGTTTATTTTTCTCTTTTTCTGTCTCTAAAAACTACAGTATGTTGAACATTATTTTAGAATACCTATTGGTATTTTTTTGGTTTGTCTGTGTATACAAACAGTGGCATATTAAGAACAAGTTCCATTCCTAAATCTGTTTTTAACTCAAATTTGTGTGTAAATTGCAACATGTTTAGGAACAGGCAACTTATTACTTAAAACGGCTGACAACATTCTCCTTCCTTAAACAACAAATCATTGAATCCATGTAAAGTTTTTATGAAAAGCTGAAACTGCACAGGTTCTCTGGTTCATGAAAACATTTGAAGACTTCAAATACTCAGTGGTTTGTGAGCTTGAGGACTCCACCCACTGACCCATCATTTTTAGTAATAGGCATAGTACAAGTTGTCCATAAGCTAGGTATTCTTAACCCAGGGACTGCCTGTATTTCCCATTTTAATATGGTAAGAAAGAAACCATGCCATTCATTTTCTCAGTTACACTTGGAAAGATTTCTGGAGATATAGAAAGGACAGAGGTATAGAGGCCTCTCATCCATCAGCCTGTCTGTTTATCTATCCAAATTTATAAATGTGTTATTTATAAAAACAGTCTCAACTTTGGGGCTGTTTTTAATGATAAATTTTGGGATAACAAATGTTTAAAGCACACTATCAATGTAAAGTAACTGTGACCAAATTAGAATTATTTTTCCCTCTCAATATGCTTACTTCCCAAATATCATTGTTTGTCACTACATCTTGAATGAATTCAAGATAGAAAAAAATAGTCCATTTTTAAATAAGAGCATTTGGGAGTGACATATAAGCGCGCGCCTGGATACTAACACACATCTATCTCAATGTAATTAATTTTCAAAATGACAGAATTGGAATTAAATTAAAATGAACATCATTTGAATTGATTTCTTCATGTTGTCTTTCTGAAGAATTATTTCATACTTTGAAAGCTTTTAAGGAGATTTATTGAATTGATTCCCCATAGATTTTTCCTTTATTTACTAGACCACGATAATTGTAACCTTAAGCATAACCTTTGCTGATTGTCAATATCCAAACCAAGTGTCACAACTAAAAAGGTAGAGGCTGACAGTTAAGAATGATTGCTACTTGATCTTACATATAGCCTTGTTCAGACTATCATTATCCTTTAAATATTGTCTGGTCATGAGGCTTTCAATCTCACTACATGGCTGTAGTTCTTAGTTTTATGCCCTGCAATACTTGCAGCATTGATGAGTTGCAAATTTGGTACTGTCTGCAAGAATCTTAAGTACTTCTTCAATGGTCTGCAGATAGATTGGGTTTCTAAAAGAAATGGTGGAATGGAGTCTAGGAACATCTTCCTTTATCATCTTGCTATTTTGTAAATGGATCTTATACTTCAGTGTGGATTTGATCATGGACTAGATTTCACGTGAAATGCAGAATTTAGACAAGGATGGGCAATCTGAGGCATTCTATTAGGACAGTTATGCCATGCTGATTTGCAAACCATTAATGTAGGTAAATCTGTAGACTTAAAACAAATAAGAAAAAAGCATCAGTAAAAAAGTTTGATTACAGTTACACTTACCAGTGAGACATTGCCATGACACACATAGCCAACAATGTCTATAAAGCAGCATACAAGAGTTATTTGTAGGAAGCTATACTTCTGGTTTTTATCAGTAGCACTTTTATTAATAGTATAATGATTCAACATTATGACTCTGGGTTATTATCACATTTCCACATCCCACCCAATATAATACAGAACAATGACAGCTTAAGTTTAGCAATAATGTCACTGACAGCTTTTGTTGCAATTTAATCATTACTTCAGCACTATTATGTATCCTGTACAGATGCAGATAGATAACTCCACAAAACATCCATAACAAAGTACTTTTATTGGTTCATCAGGTATCCTCATAATTCACATTTGTGATGAAGTTCTTCTTTAATGACCAATCCTTTGTATATCTGTCTTGTAGGTAAAAAAAAGATGATTTATCTTCTATCCTTTTTTCCCCCATGTTGTAGCGATAGAAGTAGAAGAGTTACCACGAGTCCATGAGTTCAGCCAAGTGTGAGGAAAACCTCCCCCAAACCCTTGAGGGTCAATTTAGTGACGATCAGGATTACAGATGTGGTCACGTGATATACATTTCCCAGGATACCTTCACTACATTTACTATGATGCATTCCCTTAAGGGGACAGCTCACAATTGCTACCTAACTATCCAAATCCCATTAACTCTAAACTATCTGGACAGCACAAGCACAGACATTTATTTATTGCAATTATATCCAAGGGAATGCATATGAAGGCATTCTTTATTTTTATATCCACAGCAATAATTCTGTGGAATTGGTTGGATTGAAAATAATTGGCAGCTTGCCAGAGTCTAACCTGATCCAACTTTTAACTAGTATAGGAAACTGGCTTAAAGCTTCTTCATCTTTGCTTTCTTCTCTCTTTGCTATATTCTTAATTTTATTAAAATAAATGTATCTACTTTCTTTTCTACTATCTGAAATCTTACTCAACTCAACCAGCTATTCAACATAGCACTAAATTGCCACTATGCTAATGCAAATTTTGAAGACACAATCTTGATAGGAACACTGCATGCCAGAAGGGGAACCTGACACATCCCACCTTCAGTCACTTTGCAAAATCCTTTCCTCCTCCGAATGAAGTTAGCATTCTTTGGTTAGCTCTTTTACACTGCAATGTAGATTTTCAGATTCACAAACTAAAAAGAATTTAGATGATGCACAATTCTTTGTCTTATTTGCATCTAACCTTGCCACAAACATATTTAGCCATCATCCTCTTTTTTAAATTTATCATAGCTTCAAGATATAACTGTGGGAACAGCCATAAAGAGATGGAGAATTAAATCAATATTTTGTTCTCATCAGACACTATACATGCATAATCACGACAATGTCATGTAGGGACTTGAAATAGAGGAAGTATAAGAAATTGGCAATAGGGGCAGCAAATTTCATGCCTGTGTATTTTCTGCCAACACAAGGATGGGTGATAATACTTTAACTCAGCAGTGGGGAAAGGTTCTGTGTCAATGAAAAAGAATTCCACCAGCTGCAATCATTTGACCTTTGTATTGCTTATTCAAAGTTTCACTGGAGTGGTTCAATTTCATTGAAATAGATCCATGAAGTGAAGCAGCATGGTGCTTTTACTTACGGTTCAGAGCAGTTGAACTCTGCTTCAGCAGCTTCTCTAGCTCTTCATTGGTCTTCTGTATATACACAGCGCATACAGAGAAGCCATTTGCAAGGTAGCCAGCTGGAATGGATCAGTGCTGCTTTGACATTTCACATGAAGCACGTCAACCTCTGTTGCTTCACTTGTAGTTTGGGAACCATCTCAAATTAAACAATAAGATGGGTTATGCCTACTTTGCACAGGCCTATTGCTTGTGCCCATGTAAAGCTTCACAGAGATATGATTATTCCAAGAAGTATTCTTACTAGTCAAAGGCAACAAAAACTCTGGAACATTTATTTTAGAATTGGATTCCTAATTTATACCAGCCTGAGGATTGGTACATCTTGCATTGGATTTTCCTTTCAATGTAATCAAAGTCATAGTTCTATAGAAATTTCTTGTCTTGTATTGTTCCATTAAACCCAAATTGAAGCTCATACTATCTTTCCCCAGTAATGGAATATATGATCTAGTGCAAAGTCAAAACTACAAGGATGTAATTAAAATATAAGTACCTTTTAGTTAAATAACGTTTTGTTTTCCCTTGGCCTCTATTACTGCTTAAAATATTGTTCTTAGTATGTCACTCAAAAACCAAGAGCAAGCTTGATCTAAAAACGCTGACTATGTACAGTTGTGCAGACCTTTGGATTCAAAGACAAAAATATGGATGGGTGAATATACCACCTGTTGGCAGTTTTTTCAACCCAGGATTATGCTGCAATTAGGAAAGGCAGCTGTGTGATCATTGGAAAAGATGCAGCTGCTTGAAGGAGCTGCTGACAGGTGCTATGTGAATCTCCTTGAGTGATCCAATGCTGGCCGAGGAACTCTGAGAGTTGAAATCCACAAGTCTTAAAGTAGCCAAGGTTGGAAACCCCTGATCCAAAAGACCTTTTCTCCTTCAAACTCAAAACTCTAAGCAACCCTATTGTGCTGTAGCTTTGTATTATGTTTGCTCGTTCTGATTCGGTGCCCTTTTCTTCTTCCCTGTCTTTTTACAGGTAGATAAAGTTTGTGGACATCCTGAAGAAAAAGAAGTGAAATCTTTGCCAGACAGCATAATTCAAGCAAAGGAAATAGAGAGACCACCGCTAACAATGGCCCACTCAATAACTATTAACAATAAAAGGAGGTAATTTGAAAAGAAAAAACATTTCCTTATAAATTTTGTGGTGAAGGCTTCCCTAAATGATAATGATGAGAGTAATTCTGATTCTCATGTATTAAAGACTCTTGGTTTTCAAACAGATGAAAAGCAGGCCAGAAAGGACAGTCATATTTTACTTTTTAATAACAATAAATGAAGTTAAATAAATGTATTTTAACTGTGGAGAAGGCCCAGGGGTGGGTTTCTATCGTTTGCACCAGTTCCATAGAACCAATTGTTAACATCACCGGTAGTTCTAACAACCAGTAAAACCAATCCCTGCTTGGCCCCGCCCCTCTCCGCTGCTCCTACGGGCCAAAAACCGATTTTTATTACTGCGCATGCACGAAAATCCCTTCCTCATTCTCCCTGCCCACCTGTCCCTTTGCTGCCCCCGCCCCTATCTGCCACTCCAAGGTAAAACCATTTTTTTTAAAAAAACTTTTTTTTTTACTGTGCTTACGCAAAAATCCCTTCTCATTCTCCCCCACCCGCCTCTCCCTTTGCTGCCCCAAAATTAGCCACACCCACAAAATAGGCCATGCCCACAGAACCAGTTGTTAAGAAATTTAAATCCCACCCCTGAGAAGGCCTATCTGTAATTAGTATTGAGTTAGATATATTGTTATACATCTGTAATTAATATAGGGCAATTCAGTTAAAGGAGCCATTGATTTCAATAATTGATGGGAACACAACCTTGAATAGAAAATCTGACATCAAATATATTGACTTGTAAAATCAGTTGTAAAATCAGGCTATAGAATAGAAAATTAGGAACGGCTGTAGCTTACATTAGTGGAGTGCCTGCAGTTTTCAGATTCCTAACTATATATATACTGATGATGAAAGGAACTGAGATAAAATCAATAATAGAAACATGGCCTAGAGGTTAAAAGCTTAGATTTTTCAGTAATTTGCAGCTGGCAATGTAAATTAACATCAGCTCTGAATTACTGAAAGTTTTGAATTTTGTTTAAATAGTAGGTCCTACTTCAACCATTGACATAGACTCAGTTATCTTAAATTATTTTGTAGAATGGTTTCATAGTAAAGATTCTGTCACTTGCTAAGATATCTGAACCAGCTGAAATGAGTGATTCTTAAGTGAATTGGCTAGTTGTCTTCTCCACTGCTATACAGCTAAATAATTATACAGGTAGAGGAAAAGTTTATGATTGCCTTTTGCACCATTTCCCAAGATGGTGATATAATCAATTTAAGATAAACAAGCATTTTACTTCTTGGATTCCTTTCCCCTATCCTTATGGCTAATGCGTCTTCTCAAAATAGTAATTTCTTATTTACTGCTGTTTGCCCTTATTTTCCATTTCCTACATCTTTCTAGTTTTGTGAAACCCTTTTCTCTGAGACATGACTGACTTGTTAGAAGTTCCACTGCATGATGTTCTAATTAACCACAGCTATGCTTGCAATGATATACCTATTCAGCACAAGCTAGGAGTGGCTGTTGTTTAGTTGTCTTTCATCAAAGCAGAAATGTATAAGCAATGTAAATACTTTTTAAAACATACTTAATAGTTCCAATATTAAAGGCAGTGCATTTTGAAATCATAACTTAAGGGCAAAGGCCCTATATGCATGGTGCCATAACTTAAATCTGTGACTGTGTAGAAAAATGTTTCATACACTTGGCTCAGGATAATTGACCACCCCAGTTTTTTGACTCTGGTATCTAAGTTGCTCTTTTAGGTATCTTGACATTCAATAGTACAGAGATGCATTTTATTAAATGCTCAAGATTTAACTACAGAAAGAAACAGTTAACATTGCAATTTTGGTTTCAGTTTTTTTTTTTAAAAAAATAGCAAATTATAAAAGTGATGTTCTGGACAATATAAACTTCCTTTTATATTTTTTCTATAAGGAGTCATGTAAACAAGGCAATTTCAAAAACTGAAACAGTGTCAGACCCCATTAGTACTTGGATAGTATATGACTCATCTATCAGAGGTATAAACTAGATTGCAGCTAAAAAATACTCTGAAGATATTTGGTGAACAGTTCTGTAACACTGCCAATCTCCTGCTCAAATTGTTGTGTCCATATGGATATCAGAAGTTGAGTTTACATCAAAGGTTTCTTCGTCTTTGGGGCTTCTGGAACTGAACTATTCTGGACATTACTAGTTCAAATTTATAAGATTTTCATTATTCCAATTGTTCTCTTTATTTTGTTTTATTTTTTTATTTTTTATTATTTTATTTTATTTTTTTATTTTATTTTATTATTTTATTTTATTTTATTTTATTTATAGGGTAGTATATCTTGCCACAGAGACTCTGGATAGTAAACGAAGTTTGAAAGTTTAATACAGCAATATACATCATTATAAAAAAACACACAACATATAAAACAAAATATACTGTCAAAACAGTCTTTCCCAGGATTACTTATAGACTCCAGGGACTGAACCTAAGGATGTCTTTATATGAACTATATGTTCTACCACTGACATAAAATTCTTGGGAATATATTGTGATACTTCATTCTTGTTTAAAATAAGCAAGCAGACTTGTATTTATTTGTTTATCTATGTAGCTGCATTCATTTCCCAATACCCAGGAGGCATCAGTTTTATATTTCCTTATAAACCAACATTTTTGGTGTCCCTGAAAATAATTGTTTTCCCAACAACAGTACTTGTTTTCATCCATAATTCATGTTTTATGCAGTTCTCAGATATAACAATAATGTTTCTAACATGACATTTGGATATGTCAGAAATAAAAACATTTATTTTCATTATTGAATGCTTTGTTTTATAGTCATATCTATTTTTGTTTTTTAAGAAATAAATGTATTTCCATATGATTTAGAAAACAATCCAAATCCACAACAGAGGGGCACAATGTAAAAGCAATTAAACTGGTAGATGGACTATACTATTTTTAAAGTATAGGTTGAAGAATATTTAAATAGGAGTTATTTTTTTCTGATTTAATCCTGTGCATGTTTATCTTTTCTTTCAAATAATTTATTACTTTTGTTTCTCATTTCTTTCTTCATTTACCTGAATTCCCTCTTTTCCCCTTGGCTATTCTCCTTGGCCTACTCCAGTTCTCTGCCTCTGAAATCTTCAAAGAATGACAAATCCAGAAGTTTGAAAAAAATGTCTCGGTAAGAATGCAAAGAAGTCAACATACCTTTGTCTCTTCATTTTAATGGAGGTCTTCATACATTCTAAGAAGAGAAAGGTTAATTTAAATTACCATAACATATTTTTAATATTTATTTACCAGGTGTGACAAAGTTTGGCTTTCCAAAATTTATTAAACTATGACACCTAAAATCTAAATTTAAAGTTACTGTTAAAAACAAATCCAACAGGTAGATACACATTTTTGAGTTTGATTTGTGGTTTAGAAATTATTTGGGACCAAATTTCCTCTCTGCAATTTTTAAAACATCAGGATATCAATAGGGTGGCATAGATATGAATAGAAGTATTGTACATCAAGATGGACATCTACTTACACTGTCAAATAAATTCCAACTTATTTTAAAAATGAAAAATTTAAATGAAATGCTAAGATGTTCGAATAGTTGATGACATTTCATATAAATACTATCTTTACTTAGCTACAAATTGGCTTTTGCAACCCATTGGATCTTCTTTACTTTGTTCTCTATCATGCTCAGATATCTACATAAAAAGGGAGGCAGAAATAATATATTATTCAACATTCCTTTGTCTCATGAATTTGATCAATTGACATCTTAAATATGATTTAATTTGTCTAGTTCAAGAGATGAATTAGAATTTAATGAGGTATGAAACAGCCATCTCTTCATCCACTTTTTAAATAAACTTGAGGGAACTTTGAATCTCAATTATTGCATTATTAAGATAAGGAAGAAATAAATGTATAGTTAATGGTTTTTTAAAAATGTTCTGTATTTAATTTCTAGGGAATTTATCAGTTATATGAAACGATCCAGAACTTTTTATGCGTCTTTGACAGAAAGACTTTGCGATGGTGATCTCGTGATGAAAGACAGCTCAACTTGTTGGAATGGCCAAGATGTGGTAGAAAGGTAATTGTGAAAGATTTCCAGAAGAGACTAAGCTTTAAATTCGTCTGTTTTCACAGATCTTTCCAGTGTGATATTAAAAAAGATATTTTAATTGGATGTTTTTCTGGATTGGGAATACCACTTGATGGTGCTTTTAAAGTTACCAAAAAGAGATATCTTACACCTATGTTGCAGAAGTGTGTCCATTTCTGAAATTTGAAAGATCTTGCTTCTTCATACCATAAATGGTTTCCAACTACAATATATTTAGGTAGAAACATTGTGAAGCTCTGAGGCTATCACCAACTTGGCTGAGAAAATTGTGACTCGGTTTTTTTTCTCAATTTGCATTTAAAGAGAATACTTAAGTCCTAATTATTCATGCATTTTATGCATTCCTTGCTACTTCTTCTAAGTTATAATGATTATTTTACTTGTTAAAGGAGAGATAAGGCATATTAGCTAGAGCTTCAAAATAAGTTTACTGAAAACAAATACAGTGTTATTTTAGCTGGTTGATAAGGAAAAAAATTGTTTTGTTTTGCAATTTTGGTGAGTTTTATTGTTTCGTGGTTGAAGACTGAAATGGAATACAAGGGCTAAGAGATTAATAGAGTAGATAAGGAATGGCAATCTATATTAATAATTTCCTTTATATTAAACCTTATGATATTTCATTTGATAAGGAGATGTTCCACTGCAATAATTTTTGTATCTTTGAATATTCATAATTTACTTTATATTATTTTAATGAAAAAATATATTATGATCATATTTATTTAAATGTTTTAAAGTGCCTAGTAAGCGTGTTCTCTTGATAGTTTACAATAAGACACATAAAAAATTGGTCTCTAAAGGTCCAATGCAGAATTTTGAATTGGATCTAGAAATGTATTAAAGCCAGTGTATATGGCAAATAAGTTTATATGGGGCCAGGATCAATGAACATTTTAGTTACTTGTAGTTTGAACTAACCAAAATTTTCTAATGGTATGTTGGGATGATGTTGGTAGACAAGAAGAAGAGATATAATTAAACAAATGGTCAGCCAAGTGACAGATAAGTTCACAGAAGGAATTGGCATATGACAAATGTCTCAGATGGCCCACCCTAGTTTCTTGCACTGGAAAGGCAAGATGTATTTTCATATTTTCAAGATTTTGTAATGTAATCATACAATAAAATTACAGTTAGTACTTGCTTATGGATATGCTTCCTGTCTGGAAGGCTTGTCTTAAAAAGACTGATAAATTTCTAGAATTTTTTTTTTCCAAAGGACTCTATATGGGATAGCAATAGCACTTAGACTGATATACTGCTTCCTAGTGCTTTACAATTCTCTCTAAGCAGTTTACAAAGTCAGCATATTGCCCCCCAAAATTTGGGTACTCATTTTACCGATCTCTGGTGGATGGAAAGCTGAGTCAACCTTGAATCAGTCAGGATCAAACTCCTGGCAATCAGCAGAATTAGCCTGCAATACTGCATTCTAACAATTGCACACCACAACTTTACAACACAATACAATGTCTTGACAGCTTGATAGTTTTTAATTCACCAACATTCAAAAAATAAAATATGTTGCAATAAATAGGCAACGGTTCTATCTTGGAACTTAAATTATCATTTAAATGAACAATATGAACGATCTGAATAATTGAAATCATTCAAATTTGAATGATTTTGGAAGCATCCAGCATCTACAAAGTTGCACTTCTGGGAAGCTAAGGTAATCAGGATGAAATATTACAATGCAAATATTGCTGTAAGGAAAAATCTATCAATACAGTACTTTTCCTCTTTAGTGAAAAATATGAATCTTAGTAGATAGCATTTGGCAAACAATGTACTATTAATACAATTACAGAGTATAAATAATTCTATTTGTTTGTCAGCAACAGTACATTTCAGAAAAACAAACACAATCCTATGATCTCAGTAACACGTTAGCTGTGAAAGTTCAATCCGAAAAAAATTCCATTTCCAGTTTAAATAATCACAATATTTTTATGGCTTTTCTTTTATTATTTTCTTTGAAATCAACTGAAAAATCTTCTGTTTCCCTAAGATATCCTTAAAGATTACTTATGATATTACTGTGACTTATGTTTGACTACAATTAATGTGGGCTTAACGTATACATTTTTAAGAGCAAAGTGAAATTATATCCACATGAAGTATAATTCTTAATCATGATTAAGGTCAGTAGTGGGAAATGGGGATATCCAGGCACTGAGAAGGAAACTGGATTGTTTATAGTTTGAGGAAATCTTGGAGAAAGTTATGAATTTTTTTTTTCTTTTTCTTAATTTCTAAAGCCTAGTAGGCTTTAAGCTCTGTCAGTGGTGGCAACAGCTGCCACAGTCATACTCTTACATGCTCTATGCAACACAAAAAATTCAATCTAGCAAAGATTTAATTTTTCCAAAATCATCATAATCTTTTTTTCCTCCTAATTTTAAAATTTAAACAAATATGTACTGTTAATGAGTTAGAGCAAAGGGACATAGATGAATGATGTATTATGAAATTCCTGCTGAGCTGGTATTTAACTTGGTGTAATACATATAGCATACACATATAACAAACACTGTTTGACTTCTCCATTTTAATAAAGATCATTTCTGTCCCTGACAGCATCAGAGCATGAAAATTTTACCTGTAACAATCCTTACATCTGAGTCTTTCTGTGTGTTTGCTTTCTAGTTCAATTTTTGAACCTGCTTGCTGCAGATTTTGTTAGGTACATTTAACTTACCAGAATAATGTAACTTAATCAGACCAAGGATTGTTTTAAATAAAAGGTTTTTGTTATTTGACATTGAAGTGACATATATTTCACCAAGGCACTGTGATTATGGGCTTAACAGTTCAGTAGCTATCCAAAAGGTTATATTGAAACTCAAACTGATGTTAGAATTTCATCTTATAGAGCAAACAATAGTTATACAGCTGTTGCAATATGATCAAACAAGCAGGGACATTATTCATATGAAGCTTGACATGTTTTAAGCATATGTTTTTGAGCTATTGGATATTCAGGCTATATGAATTCTTGGAGTTTACTTATGTTTACTTATGTGAAGCTGCACATGAAACACCGTTGCCACCAAATGCTTCTGGGAAACACTACAGTGACTCTAATAATAGATGAAGTACCCATGAGGGCTGCTGTGTTTCATTCAGCAAGTGCCATATGTGTGATACATATACAGGAATTACTTTCATCAAAGCACAAAAGGGACTGTAATACTGAAGATCTATTTGCTTACTCTTTTGTTACTGAGAATAGAAAATAGTTTGCACTGGGCGTTGTAGTGGTACAGCATGAGATCTTTAAGCTCTAAGATCGCTGCTGATATCTCCATTGCAGGACGGTCCCAATGGACCTAAACCGTCCCGTAGAGATGGTGACTGAGGAGGGCACATCCTGTTGATCCCAGGGACATCACAAAGTCCCCGGTAGATCCAGGAGAAAGCCCTTTTTTCCTGTGGTGGAGAAGCAGCCATTAAAGCTGCTGAAGCTGAGACAGCTCCGGAACAGAAGAAAGCTAGAAAGAAGGTGTGTCAGTTTGGTGAGATAATTTTCTACTTATTTTTTTCTGGAGAGAACACCCTAAAAGACTAAAAATTAAATTTAAAAGTGAAGATAAAAGTGCTTAAGTGGCGAGATTAAGCACAAATTAAACCTGAAGGTTTTTTCTTTCTTTTTATTGAAACTTTGGATTTTGTAAAAACTTTTCAATTTTTAAACTGGACTGGTCTTTCCTTTTTAATTTCTATTTTTTCTTTTCAAAATAACTCTTTGGAAAAGTTTTTTTTTCTCTTGTTTTTTTCTTTTTAATAATTTTAGATTCTTTTTATTTTTTCTATTCTTGGTTTTAATATTAGAGGGGAAGGGAAAGGAAAGGGAAATAAGTAGCACTGCCACCTGGAGGCTTGGATACATTGTTTTCCTCCCTTTCTTGTTGATACATTTGCTGTTCCATTCAAGGACTCTGTGCTTTTCATTGAAAGGATAGTGGGAAGAGCATGTAGATTGTTTTCAGGTGCTCTTCTGTGGAACTACTGATAGCTGGAGTCTGGATTTGAAATTGAAGAAAGAAGATTGAAGTGACCTTGAAAAGGTAATTTTGGTAATTTTGTTTTTTGATTTAGTAAAGAGCCTCGAACATATAGTGGCAGTGCTTTGCTTATTGACAGAATTGCATTTTCTCTTTCCTTTTTTTTTTCTATTCCCGCCCCAGTTGGATTTTTATATTTGGACTTGAGTCCTTTGATGCAAGAATAAGACTACTTTCCCCCCACCTCCCTCCTCCCTTTGTTTTACCTTTTTAGCAAGGGGAATATACAGATTTCTGTCTTTTTAATTTTTTTCCTATTTTTTTTATTTTTTCATCCTTTTTCCATTTTATATTTTTCCTTTTTTCCCCTACATAATTGGAATCAATTGGATTAAGGTATTCAAGTGCCTGAAGATTTTTTCCCTTCCCTTTTTTATTTTTATCTTTTGCTTTTTTTAATTTTTTTTAACTGGAGTGGCAGTTGGCTGCTCTTGCTTTTTCTTTTCAATTTTTCTATTAAGTACTATAAGATGAGCAGAAAGATACCAGCCTCAGTTTCTTCAATCCTGACTTCTTCCTCACCATCTGGAGGACAACGATCAACACAGGTGATGTTACAACAAGAGAAGGAGAAAGAAGTGACACTGTAGATGATTATGCAAGGAATTCAAAAGATACAAGTAAAGACACATAATATTGAAAAGAGAACAGAGAATATTGAGCAAAGAATGGAAAAGACAGATGAGAAAATAGAAAATATTCAACAGATGATGATGTAATACGAGGACAGAATTAAGAAAATTGAAGAACAAGATGTACAAAGAGTTTGGAGATATGGATACCCGACTGAGTGAAGTGGAAAGAGATAAGGACAGATCTCTGCAATCATTGGGATGGGAAATTGATAGATCAGAATTCTACCTTATATTTCAAAATATAAAAGAAGAAAAGCTGAAA